TCTCAGATGCAGCAAGTATAACCAGGTGGTAAGAGAAGTACCACGTTGGAATCTCCCACCATCAGCTCTTTACCACCCATAAGTTCCTATAGTCCAGTTTCTCAGAGGTAGGTAAGAGGAAACTAAGAGTAAGAAGGGTTATTTACGTGGTTTGAGTCTCATACTGCTAGTGTGCCTTTTCTTCCCCCATATCCCAACCTCATAATGAAACCTTATAATTTTATCCAGTAGGGAAGCACCCATTTGGAAAATTGCCACAGTGAGAGCCCATACTTTCTGTTTAAGTGTGTGCTTCACTGGGAGTATTAGCTGTTTGCATAGCTTTTTAGGTTCTCCTTCAGTAGTACATTTTATCTTCTAATGGTAACTGCTTCCCGGGGTGATACAGAGTGTATGTTCAGTGAATGCTGCGGAGAGTTGCCTGCTGCTGAGTATCCTTGGCAGCAGAGGTGGCATTACTCTTTGGCTGGATGTGTTTGGGAATTAAGGAGTATAAGATAGTCTACTTAGGAGCTCTTGAATAGTATGGCCTGCATCTGCTATGTGAATGAGAATTGCTGGGCCATACCTGAATAGTCAATGCCCGGAGGTATCCTCAAAAGAAAGGTAGAGGGTCTGGATAGTCTATCTGCCAGGACCTGGCAGATCTGGTGCCCCAGGCTATGTGCCTGGAGTTCCTTTGCCATTTGTATTAGATTCCTTGGGCTTCCATAGCAAAGTACACAAACTATGTGGCTTACACAACAGAAATTTATTTTCTCTTGTGGAGGTTAGAAGCCCAAAGTCAAGGGGTTGGCACAGCCTTGCACTCTGAAGCATCTAGGGAAGACTCCCTTGCTTCCTCCTAGCTTCTGGTAGTTGCTGACTGTCATTAGCATTCCCAGGCTTGTAGATGCATCACTATTCTTATAAGGACACCAGTCATTGAAATACTGAATCCAGTATGACCTTCTCTTAACTTGATTACATCTGCAAAGACCCTATTTCCAAATCAGGGCACGTTCACAGGTACCGTGTGTTAGCTCTTAAACATATCTTTTTGAAGGAACAGAGTTCAACCCAAAAAACTCTGCTCTCTAGCGCTCCAAAATTCATGTCCTTCCTATGCAAAATACATTTCACCAAGTCCCAACATACCCCTCAGATCTTAATTTATTTCAGCTTTAACTGTCCAAAATTTCATCTAAATATAATAACTCAAAAAAAAACCCACTCCCAACTTCTGAATCATCTAAATCAGAAATCAGTGAGACTCCAGGTATAGGCGGTTCTGGGGCATAATTATTCTCTGTCTACAGATTTGTAGAACTTGAAAACAAAGTGTTCACAAATTACAATGATAGGAGACATATGGCTAGAGGTAAGGCCACGTTTGGTGGGGAGTGAGGGAGGGTGGGCCCCACAAGATCCTCATAGATTGATTACATTGAACGTTTGATGATTGATGGTTTATCAGTGATCTCTCACTGCTGTTGACATTTTCATATTTGGCTGTTCCAAACTTTGAAACTAAACCATCTCATGTTTTATGAAATGGACATTCCACACACCCAAGTAGCTGTAACTGATACTGCTAAACATATTGTAGAAATTGCTATTTTAAGTATGTGTCATGCTTCTCTTAATTGTAAGTAATGTTCAGACAGAGGTACTGGGACAAGTGTCCAGCCAGGCTCTTCCAGCCCAGCCATGTAATATCAGTAAAGCCTTACAAGATGGGGGATGGATTAACATCCTAATAAAGAGCTATTTGCCAGGCTCTACAGTATGTTCTCCCACTTGGGTCAATCAGTCCTAATAAGCCTCTTGAGCTACAAATGTCAGTGACCAACCACTATGCACACTAGAGCACCAGTCAGGCATCAGTCAAACTTTCCACCCACATGAAGGTGGACATTTACCTCTGCATATGTGTTTTCTCAGAGTTTGGAGTCTGTGCCAGTACCTTATGCTTCTTGAGGGTGTTGGAATATTGAAGTCCCTGAGGAGGCTTGGACTTTGATGATGAACAGATCAGCTAAGTTGAAGGCTGATAGTGCACTGAGCCACTATGGCTATGTATCCACAGAGAAAACTGTTACAAACCTTATATGCAAAAGAAAATTCCACCAGTGGTTCGAGTTGTAGGCTGTGGTGCTGGTCCAGTAAAACACTGCCCCCCAAAACATCTTGCTACATTTTCACTGACTCATAAGCAATAGCCAACAGGATGGCAGGATGGTACTTCAGTGCCCGGTAGCAGGATCAAGTCCTAAGCCCCTGTGGGGTCACACATTGTGATAACAGATTGTGTAGGATCCCTTACTCCCATGGACTCCAGAGGCAAAGGACCCTTTGACAATGGACATCACTGAAACCAACAGGTGTTATTTTAGGCTGATCAGACCTGAGCCATCCAGATAAGACCATAGACCTCTGGATATACCATGACACAGGATGTGCATCAATATTCCAGCACTGAGACCGAAGTCAAAGCTTAGTGATTCAGCCTATGAGGCCAGGAAAACCTGACAAATCTGCCTAACGTGCCAATTCCACAGTTGAATGGTGTACTAGTTTCCTAGGGCTGCTTAAGAAAGCACCACAGCTTTTTGGCTTAAAATAACAGGCATGTGTTCTCTCACAGTTCTGCAGGCTAGAGGTCTGAACCAGTGTTCATCTGCCCCATATACAGCAAGCCAGTAAAGACTGACACAGATTGACACTGAGCTTCTGCAGTGAAAAAAGATAAGCTATTTATTGGTGTGGTGCCTCCCAAGAGAATGGGGAGCTAATGCTCAAAGTCTCTTACAGGTGAGGCCTTTTAAGGGCAAAATTGGGGGCAGAGGTTTCCTGAGAAGGTGGATGCTATTGATGGGAGGCCTAGGAAGTACTGTTAACAGATAATAATTACTTCTGGTGCCACTTCATCTGGTTGCACAGAAGTCTGCTCTATCTCAAGAGACTTGGAATCTGCAAAACATCGTTATATGGATTAGAGATTTCATTAGGTACATCGGGATTATGAGTTTGGGAGAGTGCTGATCAGCTGCTTGTATCTGCTTGTGTGTGCACTAGCTAGTGGGTTGCTTTCCTTCATGTTCCTTTGAATGATACAGGCATTCCTATCTCTTGGGCCTGGATCCATGTGTTCCCTGGCTGGTGCAGCTGTGCCTGGAAGCAATATGTTTCCTAGTGTTCATTATTTCATCTGAACTAACAATATGGATGCCAGCTTCAAAATGAGCATATCGGGGCACCTGGGTGGCTCAGTGGGTTAAAGCCTCTGGCTTCGGCTCAGGTCATGATCCCAGGGTCCTGGGATCAAGCCCTGCCTCAGACTCTCTGCTCAGTGGGGAGACTGCTTCCTCCTCTCTCTCTGCCTGCCTCTCTGCCTACTTCTGATTTCCGTCTGTCAAATAAATAAATAATCTAAAAAAAAAAAAAAAATGAGCATGCCAACAGGGTTGTGTCCTATTAGAGGTTCTAAGAGGGAATCTGTTCCATGCTTCTCTCCTAACTCCTGATGGTTTTTGGCAAACTTTGACACCCCTTGGCTTGTAGCCATATCGCTCCAATCTGTCTCCATATTCACAAGGCATTCTCCCATGCCTCTGTCTCCTGTTTTCTCATAAGGACAGAGGTCATCAGGGCACACCCTAATCCTCATTTTAACTTAACTAATGACCTCTTTGAAGACCCTATTCAAAAATAAAATCACAATCTGAGCCTCTTGATGGACAGGAATTTGGAGGCAAAGAGATACTATTCTTCTCAGTACAATGGCCAAAATGAACCATTTTATATTGTAACCGTATAGTTCATGACTTCCTAGCGGTCCCTGACATGTCCTTTGCAGCTCACTCTCTTAAACTAATTCCTTCAACAACCTCTCTTCAGATTGCATCGTTTTGCAATGCCCTGCTGGCCAGAAAGAACGAGGTCCAGCAAGCCCGTGGGAGAGGCCCGGAGAGCGACCTCGGCCCTCCAGGGGAAACTCTTAAGTCGGGGCGTGGTGCCAGGGCTTATGGGAAACGTAGTCCTACGTTTCCTTGCCTCACAAGGCGCAGGTTCGGGGAAAGGGTCTTCCATGGTCTCCGAGGCTCGTTGTGCGCATGTGTGACTTCGGTCTCCAGGTGTTTTCGGCGGGTTTACCCGCCCGGCGGTGGAAATCCTGGAGGGGGGCGGGCGGAGCTGTGCGAGTGGGAGCGGTGGGTGAGCCCAGGCCGGGTGGGCGAGGGTTTGCGGGGGCGGCGGTGGGGAGGGGGGCAGCTGAAGGCGGGTGGGGGAGGCCTCGGGAGGGACGGCTGGGCTGGGTCCCTCCGTCCAGTGGGGGCCGGCGTCCAGGTGGGGCCGCGGTGTCGCCGTGGCTGCGGGAAGGGGGCCAGAGCTTTGGATCCTGGTGGAGCCGAGTGTAAGTTGGTTACTGCTGGCAAGATGAGGGCGGTACGTAAGACTAGGTTTCTTCATCTGTAAAGCAAGAACATTATGTCCCACATGGGGTTGTTCTCTGGTTTAACATTTTTTACACATGTTTTTAAGATACGTATATAGTTTTAACATTCGGGGCAGAGCTTAGTTAATATTAGCTGTTAAGGTTTTTGGAAGGTATTTTTCCTTTTCGTTGGCTAAATTTTATTTAATCCTAATAACGGCTTTTATGTAACTGTTTTCAGTCTTGGCAGAGGAGAGAACTGAAACTCAGGTGGCTCAAGTAAAATACTCAGGGTCTCACAGATCTGGTGGACAACCCGGTCGAAAACCAGCATTGTATTTCTCACAGCACCTTCTTTAGGACCCAAGGAAACAACCCCAAAGTGTGTGAGCACTGAATCTCACCTTGTGATCATGCATTATGAGATTTCTTGGCATGTCAGAGCCCTTGGATCAGACTGCAGAACTTATTGCAACTTATTGTCCAACTTTCAGCATCCTCAGTGGCATTAAGTGTTTAGGCAGAGAAGTTCTGTGAGTTTGGATCCCTGAATGAAACTTCTAAATAAATGGTCTTGTCTTTTAAGCCTAGGTTCCAGCTCCCTTGGAAGAAGGCAGCTTTTGTGAAGTAGGAAGGAGGAAGCTCCAGGAACAGGAATCTCACCTTGAAGGTCACTCCTCTGACCTCAGACTTCTCAACCACAGCTTTAGAGAAGAGGCAGGAAACTGCTAGAAAGGAGCAGGTCCTAGGTTTGCGTAGTCTGCAGTAGCAGTTCTTTATTCTGCTCAGAATGAGCATTGCCTCACTATCACCACATCCAGAGGGCCTCACCATGATGGTGAAAGGTCTGGACCAAGCTTCAGAAAAGATAGGTGAGTGGGACACTGAGTGGTGGGTAAGGAGCAGGTTGTGTGGAAAATATTAATTCATTAGAGGGTTCGTGTCTGCATGGTCTGCAGGGAGAGATCTGTAGGCATAATGGAAGGAATTCTATCTCCTGTCTTTAGTAAACATGCCCTGCCTTCAAGCCTCCACCCACTTTTTCTAGATTTTGAGCTGCTCTTCTTTGTCTCTCTAGAGGTACGCTACTGCTCCATCTGCCCTGACTTTCTAGAGGTGTAGAATAGGGTCATCTGTGTCTGCTTAATTTCAGAGCTGAGAAGTCTTGACTTTGAGTGTGTAAGTAGCCTGCTCAGAGTCACCCAGTTTGTTAGCATCAGTGCCAGGATCAGAAAACTCCACGATGTAAGTCATCCACCAGGTTCTATCACAACTTAGTGAGAAAGTTTTTAAAGTAGGCCTGTCAGTAAAGCAACCTCATCTTTTCCTGCAGAGTGATTTTCTAACTGTAAGGGTAAGCAGCTCAGTAGGAATGTAAGTAAACAATATTTTGAGTATTTTTCCAACAACATTGATAATGAAAAATAACTATTTGTCTTTTGATCTCTTTGTTAAATTATTACTGGATTGGTTCTAAAAGAAAAATGAAAAATTTAAATCATTAGGAAATTAACCCAGTGAAAAATTGCTCAGCCAAGCTCTACAGTTCCTGTCAGAGTCACACATGTGAATTCACCCTGCATATGATTCTTGCTGACTCTCAGGAGCCAAAGAACATTTTCCTACAGGGTAATATTTAACTGTCTGGTGGGCATGGGGTTTTAGGAGCTGAATCTCAAAAGTCTGTAGCAGCCAAATCTCATATGACCTACTGTTTACTTCTCCCATAGCTGTACATTCAACCTTCTCTGTACATTCCCAAAAAGAACAGAAAAAGAATAAATCCCAGGTGAGCTCTTTTTCATTTCTCACATTGTTTTCCATTGCATGAAACAATGAAGATAAAACTAATAAACTGTCAAGGAAAAATACAGAGTCAACACAGAGTTAACAGATTGAAAGCAAGGAAAGGTCAACATGTTAATTATGTGGAGATAATTGTAATTGTTTTTCCAGTAACATATATATATTACACATTAAATTATGTAACAGTAACTTTTATAATAAGAATTATGTGCAGATTTATCTTTGATACTCTGTCCAAAAGGATAATGCTTTGCCTTGACCATAAAAATAAAAAGTTGTTTGTGTGTGTGTGGGTGTGTGTGTGTGTGTGTGTGTGCTTCATGGAACACAAAAATTTCCTGGCCTGAAGTCTGAAAAAATTCTCTGTCTTCCTGAAAGTAAGGTAGTTGATAATCTCAATTAACAAGTCTGAGATGAATGCTGCCCATCTTCACCTGATTGTTCTTTAGTGGTACAGAGAGCAGAAGGCCAAAGCATAACTTAGTTGTTTCAAGTTGATTTTTTTTTAAGGCGTATTTATTTATTTGAGGGGGGAAGGGGCAAAGGAGAGAATCTCAAGCAGACTCCCAATGATAATGAAGCCCCACGTGGGGCTCTGTCTCATGGCCCTAAGGTCATGACCTGAGCCAAAATGGAGAGTTGGATTCTTAACTGACTGAGCCACCCAGGTGCCCCTCAAGTTAATGATTTCTTTTGTCTGCTTTACAGTATTGTCCTTTTCCTGTTGCCCTTTAGGACAACTTATCCTCATGTGATTATCTTTGGTCTATTATAATTCTTACCTTATTATTTTTCTTGACTGATTTCATATTCTGTGGATTTTTAACTATTTCAAAGGATGGACAGCCACTCAATTTGAAATTCAAACTCTGAATGTTGTGCTTATTTAGGTGAGAGCTATTGCCTATCAGATATAGTCCTTCTGAGCAAAGCAAATTGTTGATTTTCTATATGGTTTTTGCAAAGAGTTGGTATATTCATTTCCTGTGGATGCTATAACAAGTTACCACAAATTTGGTAGCTTAAAACAACAAAAATTTATTCTTTCACAGTTCTGGAGGCTAGAAATCTGAAATCAAGTTGTTGTCAGGGATGTGGTCCTGCTTAAGCTTCTAGATGGATTCCATCCCCCATCTCTTTCATCTTCTGGTGGCTTTTGGGAGAGAGGCAGGAAATAGAATGGAGAAAAATAAGATGAAGAAGAATAAATACTTTGTAAGCCCTATATCAGTGTTCCCCAGAGAAACAACCAATCAGATGTGTGTGTGTACAGATGGCATATAATGTAGACATACATAAATACACATAGGTATACATTTGATTTATGGAATTGGCTCATGTGATTGTGGGGGCTGGCAAGTCTAAAATTTGATGAACAAACCAGCAAACTGGAAACTCAGGACTTAATGCTGTAGTCTTGAGGCAGAATTCCTTTTTGGGCGGGGGGAACTTTAGTTATTGCTCATATTAGGCCTTCAACCGTTTGGATGAGGCCAACCCACATTATTGAGGGTATTCTACTTAAAGTCAACCCACTGTAGATATCAACCACATTTATAAAATACCTTCATGGTAACACTTAATAAGTGTTTTATGAAATAACTGGATACTGTAGCCTACCACATTGACACATAAAACTAACCATCACAGGTCCTATAAGAAGATATACAGCAGCAATCTATTGTGTTTTATGTTTGTGTTGTATGTATGAATACATACGTATGTGTTAATATATATGTGGTGTGTATATAAAGAAATACATGTATAAATATAGACATTTTATGATCATGTGACTAGTAAACAGTACTTGGCTGGATTATTTATATGCATGACATAAGATACTCCTTTTATATTGGGTATATAACTCATTCACATTTATTGTGGTCACTGATGATGTTTAGTTTTAGTTTCTCCATCTTTATTTGTATTTTTATTTATCCCATTTTCTTCCTTTCTGTAATTTTTCTCTGTTCATTATATTTCTCTCTTCCAGTGGTTTGAATATTCACTATTCTATTTTTTTCCATTGGTTCTCCTGGAAACAGTTAACATAGGTTTATATTTGTATTTTTTCCATCAACATCAAGAATTTTTATTTTCTAGACCTGACCTGATCTTTTGCAGGTTTTACTGTCCCTTCCTCCCACATCTCATGTTTTATAGAAGTGATCAGAATCGTTTTTTAATTTTTTAAATTGATTTTTGTAAAGATTTTTATTTATGTACTTGAGAGTGAGAGCAAGAGAGACCACAGAGAGTGAGGGAGAAGCAGACTTGCTGCTCAGCAGGGAACCTGATGCAGGACTCAGTCCCAGGACCCTGGGATCATGACCTGAGCCAAAGGTGGATGCTTAACCAACTGAGCCACCCAAACGTCCCGGAATTATTTTTAAATATAATTTTTTTAAAAATCCTTTATAAACAGGTGCAATATTTAGACATGACTAAGTTATCTGGTTATTCTCTGTAATTTCCAAGGTAGTTGGATTGAAATGTCTAGAGACAAGAGTTCAGTGAGCTAACACCTTGATCTTGGACTTCCAGCTTCCAGAACTATGAGAAAATATACATATGTGTTAAGCCATCTAGTGTGTGGTAGTTTGTTATGGGAGCCTTAGCAAACTAATAACATATGGTAATTATATTTTTAATTCTTTGAGGACACACCATACTGTTTTCTATAGTGGCTGTACCATTTTACATTCCCACAAATGTACACAAGGGTTCCAGTTTTTCCACAGCCTCACCCATGCTTTTATTCTGTTTGCCAATGGATGTGAGGAGAAGTATGTTCTTTTGAGTAGTATTAATCTCCAGTGCTTTAAAAACAGTAGTTTCCTATTCTTGGAATCATAATAATTATATAGTTTTTTTTTCTTACTCAGTTTTTCACTTCATCTGGTGAATGTCTTTTATGTTACTGGTTCTTAAATTTCTAGTGAAACTTCATTGTCTGTTTTTATATGTGAAGACTTGGTTTGATTCATGTAGGTAGCTATTGTGAGTTATTCAGAAATATAGAATGCTGTTTCTTTATCTGTTTTCTCTCCTTAGTGAAAGAACTGACTTCAAGGATTTATAAAGGAAATTGTTGAAAAAATATAACCTGGTGAATTTCCTTTTAGATTATCAGCAGGGAGTATATAGGCAACCTTAAGGGACTATTGATTTTTCAAGTGGAGATTTCACATACTATGGATTTAGATCATCATGATCTCTCATCAAAGACCAGCCTTAAAACGAATTCGGTATCTATTTTCTTTCTGGCTGACTTGGCATTGCAAGAACCCCTGAAGCATTTCCCTAAAACACTTTTTAAAATCTAGTTTATCCTTCAGCCATCAGCTGTGCTTATAAAGAGTGGCAAATGCCCAGAGTGGTCTGACATTCCTTCAGTTAATTCCTCAGCCCATCAATCAGAGCACTGTCTACTTGGAGCTTAGATTAATTTGGTGGTTGTATATACCATGTACTGAATGTATGCAAACACATGCATGCAACCCATGGGCAGTTCTCTTTGTACTGTCGTGTGGGGCTATAAAAATGGGCACATACACCGAAATCATGCAGAGCGATCTTAATCATGGGGGAAGGTGATAGTTCTGTGATCTTTAAAAATATTTGTCAAAACATTAAAAAATGTATAAAAATGAAAAAATACTGTAATATTTAGTACTAAGGACCTCTTCATTAAGATCCTTTTGTTGTAGATCTAGAGTGTCTCAAATGGAGGCAGTATCAACTTTCCCAGTCAGGTATTTCTTCTAAAACTCCATTTATATTTGATTTGCATTTCACTTCTACTGTAATCACGTCTCATTTCTTTGAGGCTCTTTCACCTTTGTTGGTCAGTTCCCTTTTGCAAACCATTTAACTGTTTTTGCTAGATGCCATATTGCCAGGAGACAAGGAAGGAACATGTGTTTTGTGTGTGGACTGAGTAACAGATGTGCAGTGATCAGTCACTGGTGGACTTTGAAAAAAAAATGACATGATTGATAATTGTTTGTGATGTTGGTTATTTATGTAGTGATTTGCGGATTGAAGAACAGGCACCAAAATTTGTACTTTATGTGATTACTCACAGTTACCATTGTAACTGAAATCTGTGGTGTTGGGGGACTCTTGTTACTTAACTAAATAAATTGTGGTAACTGAAATTCATGCATGTTAGTACCATGCAAAGTATGGACCTCCTGTAGAGAGTCAGACATATTTATGTATTGACACAGATTTGTGCCAATTTGATGCTTGAAAGCTTTCCTCTCTTAAAAGGGTGAGTTATCAGAAACTTTGAAGAACTCTTTTCTAAATGAGCAATGCCAAAATTACCACAGGTTAGGGCATTTTATATCTTTAAAGCTCCAAATTCAGTTCTCTCTTGATCTTCTGCTATTATTTAATTCAGTTTGCATCCATACTAGATTATAAGCTTCCTGAAAGTAGGAACTGTGTTTTATGTATTTTAATATCCACAGAAACCAGGACACTTTCATGTATATAACATATTTTGGGCTTGTATGTATTTGTGTGGGGTTTTTTTTTGACAATTTTATTTATTTGTCAGAGAAAGAGAGAGCGCACAAGCAGGAGGAGCAACAGGCAGAGGGAAAAGCAGGCTCCCCACCGAGCAGGGAGCCCGAAGTGGGACTTGATCCCAGAACCCTGGGATCATGACCTGAGCCAAAGGCAGACACTGAACCGACTGAGCCACCCAAGCATCCCTGTATGTGTTTTTTATTATTATTATTATTATTATTATGATGATGATGATGATGATGATGTTTCTCTTTCTCCCTCCACATATAAAACAAAACAGGGACTATTGTAAGTCTCCTGTATAAACTTTTTCTAATAAACTCAATAGTAAACATGGTGAAGGATTGTTTCTAAATATATTTACTCTGTCATATAGTTTTGAGCACTTCTTGTTGATCAGATATGTGTGTTACAGGGATCAATTTCATTTGAGGATGTGACTGTGAACTTTACGCAGGAGGAATGGGGTCAACTGGACCCCGATCAGAGGACCTTGTACAGGGATGTGATGCTGGAGAACTATAACATCTTCCTCTCGCTAGGTGAGCAACTTCTCTGAATAACATCAGCATGTCCTTTTGTTGCTACCAAAGCATGTGGATCTTTTTTAGAGTTTAATGATACTTAGGTTTGGACACCAGGGATATTATTTTTTCTCACTTCCCCACTGAAAGCTTCCACTGGGTCCCTTCACTGTGCAGCTCCTGAAGCTGGACTTTGGTTTTTCTTCTGAGTTCCTAAAATCAGGCAGCTTTTCTGTATCCTGTATCATTTTTCGTTATCAGGACATTGCGTTACCAAACCAGAGGAGATCTTGGAGTTAGAGCAAGAAGCACCATGGGTGTTAGAGAAAGAATCTGCAAGCCAGTGTTACCTAGATGATTAATCCATTAGATCCCAGGTGGTTGTTTCAAGTATATGCATCTTTGGAGTGTTTTTAAGAATCTCTTTTAAGAAGCTCTGTTTAGAAATGACTAAGGATTCTTAGCCTGCTTGCCTAAATTCCCCACAGATACACTCTCACACATATATGTTCTCTTTTTTGGTTAGGTTTTTAGGAATTTACTCCCTTTTACTTGTACCTTGAAATTCATTCCCATGTCATATTAATATTTTATGTTGGTTAGTCTCCTTCCTCTAGCAGCCTCAACTTCATAGTCCCTTCATTTTCAAGGACTTCTTTTGTTTTTAGGAATTAATAAATTAGTTTAACCAGTATTAATTGAGCTCTGCTCAATGCCAGTCATGTTTTAAATGAAAGAGATAGAGCAATGGTAAAATTCCTTCTTGGTGAGATTCCTTGATCTCATGGAATTTGTATTAGCAGGAGGGAGATGCAGGAAGCTGATTGCCATGAGAGTTGAGAGTAGAAACAAGGAGACTAGTTAGGAAAAACAATACCCCATAGACTAGGTTTGAGGTAATAGTGTGTGCAAAGTCATGGAATTCTGGCTATCTCTCAAAGGTAGGGTTAACAAAATCAGCACCTAGATTGTAATTCATTCTCTCCGAACACTTTCATTCCTCTTGTAGTTTTTTTGAAAAACAATCTTGTCTTCATGTTTTCCATATCATGTTTATTATATAATTTTTTTATTGACCGTATCTTACTGTGAATCCTGCTCATTGTGATTCATCCACTCTTAGTGAATCCTTTATTTTCATTTTTTAATGTTTATTTTACTCCTATCCATTTTGAAATGAATATTCATGAAGGACCAAATAAGATATGTGTGTGTTTGTTGCCAATTTTACTTTCCCCTCTTCCACCACAGTATCTTTGATTGGTTGGTTTGTTGTTATCTCTTTCACCAGCTACTCAGAAAAGTAGAGGGATTGGAAAATATTGATTTAGCTTTACTTTTATCCCAAAAGACCAGCTCTAAAACCAAAGAGCTGGGTGTATAAAGGAATGTATTTGTGTATTAGACCAATTTTATTAGTAGTCATTTCAGATTCATAAGGTATGTTTTTCTTGTTTCTAGAAGAATTGAAAGTTGATGGCATAATAGAGAGCAAAGAAAACCAAGACAAACATTTATGGCAACATGCATTTATCAATAACAAAAAAGTGACTACAGAAAAAGTGAATGTGTTAAGGAAAACATTTAATCTGTGCATAGACTCTATTCCTTCCAGAAAAATGCCGCGTAAATATAATCTGGATGGAATTGGTTCAGAAAATATGTCAGAGTTAACCATTAATAAAAGCTATTCGGGAAAGAAATCTGATGATGGCAATGGTTACAAGAAATTGCTTCCTGATATTAATCATGAAAAAACTCATACTAGAGAGAAGTTTGATGAATTTGATAAAAATGAGAGCATCTTCTATCATAATGAGAATTTTATTCAGCAACAAAAGATTCACACTGTGGAGCAGCTGCTTGAATATAATGATTGCATTAAAACCTCCCACAGTAATGCTCTCTTCATTACACATAAGAAAATTCACACAGGAGAGAAATTATGTGATTATAATAAACGTCAGAAAACTTTCGGGAGGGAGTCAAACCACATGCTACGTCAGATAACTTACTCAAGGAAGAGTCACTATAAATTCAGTGAATGTGAGGAAAGCTGTGAAAAGTCAGTCCTTTGGAAGAAACATCCTAGAATTCACATGGGTGAAGAATGTGAGAAATACCACGAGTGTGATGTATGTGGGAAAACCTTCCTCCGGAAGTCAAACCTCACAATACATCACAGAATACACACAGGAGAAAAACCATATAAATGTAATGAATGTGGGAAATCCTTTTACCAGAAGTCAACCCTCACTGTACATCAAAGAACTCATACAGGAGAGAGACCCTATGAATGTGCCAAATGTGGGAAAAAATTCTACCAGAACTCAGCCCTCCATCAGCATCAAAGAACACACACAGGGGAGAAGCCTTACAAATGTAGTGAATGTGGAAAATCTTTCTCCCAAAAGTCAGACCTGACTGTGCATCAGAGCTCTCACACAGGAGAAAAACCTTATAAATGTAATAAATGTGACAAGTCCTTTAGTATAAAGTCAAAACTCACTGTACACCAGAGAATACACTCAGGGGAGAAGCCCTATGAATGTAGCAACTGTGGGAAAATGTATCATATGAAGTCAACCCTCATTAAACATCAAAGACTTCACACAGGGCAGAAGATATACGAATGCACTGAATGTAGGAAGACCTTCTGTGGGAAGTCAGTCCTCCTTAAACATCAGAGAATTCATACAGGGGAGAAACCTTACGAATGTGTAGAATGTAGGAAGACCTTTTCTGAGAAGTCAACCCTCAGTAAACATCAGAGGATTCATACTGGAGAGAAACCCTTTGAATGTAACAAATGCGGGAAGTCTTTCTGCCAAAAGTCACAGCTCATTGAACATCAGAGAATTCATACAGGGGAGAAGCCCTTTGAATGTAAAGCATGTAGGAGAACATTTTGCCAGAGGGCATCCCTCAATGTACATCAGAGAACACACACAGGAGAGAGGCCCTATGAATGTAACGAATGTGGAAAATCTTTTTATGATAGTTCGACCCTCACTAAACATAAGAGGATTCATTCAGGGGAGAAACCCTATGAATGTAATGAATGTGGGAAGACCTTCAGCCACAAAGCAACTCTCACCACACATCAGAGAATACACAAAAGAAAAACACTGTAAAGATGGATGGTGAAACCATCTTGCTATAACTCAGAACTGTTGGCCTGACAGAAAGTATATCCAGGGAGGTAACCCTATGGTTGTAATGAATGTTGGAAGTCCTACCAGAAGTCAGCCTTCAGTTTACATCATAGACCCCATACAGTGGAGATACCCGGCGGTGTTTTTACCAAACTGGGCAGAGAGCAAGTCTTTTTTTTCTCTGCTGCTCTTGCATCCAGGTGGGATGATGTGCATGAGATCTGGCAGTGGGCTGTGAGTGTAATGATGTAATTCACTTCTGGTCGGACACTTAATGGTCTCCATGGCAATTCTTTGTATTCTCTGCTCTCTATGGAGTAGGATGTAGGGTGCTTTCTGTTGAGAGGTCAGCACTCACTGTGTGTTGGTGAACTCACACAAGAGTAGAAATCTCTGTCAACATCTTGGTGTTTAGAAACCTAATCCACAAATGAAACTTATTGTAACTGGAGAAATCAGAGTTAAGAAATCTTGAGATTGCAACAAATTTTAGAAAACCTTTACCAAAAGGTATTATCTGGTTCAACCTCAGGTAAACTAATAGACTGAAACCATGTAAGCACATGGTTTTCTGAAAGCTTTCAGCAAAACATATTTTATTGTATTTCAGAGAATTATTATTGAGGGAAACTGGATTTAGAAAATACAGAAATTTTTTTCTTTAGAAAAGATTTTTAAGTTGTAACATAGGAGATACAGAGGCCAAGTATATATTTTTCACATTTAGGACTACTCTGAGTTTAAGAAAGCTGCTGTGAATAGTAAGCTCATTGTACTTACCACCATAAAATGTGTTCATTAACAAAGCAACCCCATCCCGGAAATGTTTACTTGGGGAACCGAAGTAAGTTTGAGTGTGCCAAACCCAACTTAGATGTAACCTGGGAACTATGTGTATAGCGACATGCCATACATTGTTCTTTGACTTTACTTCCTAGTAAAGTATGTGTTGGCAACCATGATATGGTGCAGAAATTGGCAGACATTTTCTGTAGAAAGCCATATAGTAAATACCTTAACCTAAAGGCTACATGTGCTTTCTGTCACTTTTTTTTTTTTTTTTTACAACCTGTTAAAAATGTAAAAAATTATTCTTAGCTCATGGGCCATTGAAAAACAGACTTGGCCAGATTTAGCTTATGGACCGGAGTTTGTGGACCCCCGATACAGTGGTTAAAAGCATGGACTCTGAAAATGTACTTGGTAGGCTCAGGTCCCAGTTCTATTGCACATTAGCTGTGTGGCCTGGGACAAATCCTTTAACATTTGTTCATTTCTTTTTTGCAAAATGATGACACTGCCATTACACTACCACATGGAGTTCTAGTAAGGACTAGGGAAGTTAATAAATACAAAATACTAAACCACTGCATACAGTGCTGCAAGTGTTAGCTATTATAGGACTTGTAACAGATTTGTTGGAGCTTTGCAGACTTTTGATTACCTACTCCACTGTTCTTCACTCTATGCCAGTAGAAGATTCAGGAAATGAATGATGATTGGTCTGACCTAATTTTTTTCCAGCTTATTGAGGCATAATTGACAGACAAAATTGTAAAATATTGAAAATGTATAATGTGAAGATTTAAGTATACACTGTAAAAGGATTCCCCCATCAAGTTAATTAACGCAACTATCACCTCACAAGTTTATCAGCCATGCCCCGCCTTTTTGGTGAGAATGTTTATGTTCCACTCTCAGCAAATTTCAGTTATATAATATGCTGTTATTAACTCTAGTTAACCAGTAATACATTAGATCCTCATGGTCTCACCTAATTTTGAAAAACGTATCCTGATTAATGATTAATTTGTAATAAGCATCTGACCCAGCTCTGGCCAGTGAGAAGAAACTCTGAAGAATATTCAGTGAGGTATGGGAAAATAGGATTCCCCAGAGGCTAACAAATATTTGATTTTTTTTTTTAAAAAGCCCTTTGATTTTGCTGGATATTTTTATGTCTGGATGTGCTATCTGATAGTAGTTTTTGATCCTAAGGTAGTATCCGATGATGGCAGTGAATCAACCAACCCTAGAACTTCTTTATATGAGAAAAATTTTTTCTAATTAAACTAGTTGAGTTGGGATTTTCTGAAAATGGTTTAACAAACTTACAGGTATACCTTTTTGAAGAGTTATTAATTCAGAAATACTAACATTCATTAGCCTCCAGAGAGGACATGTTGTGAGAAACTGATTCAGGGGTGGCTGTTTTTCAGTAAATCTCCATATAGTGAGCCTAACCATTAGAAAAACCTATTTGTTTTTACATTATATGAAATGAGTGTCTAATTCATTGAGCTTTCTTTGCATCTATATGAGAAAAGCACTTAGAAAATCATTATCTCATGTATACCTTATATTTAAAATATGTGAAATAAACATTAAGTTAAATTGAATTATCCATTGATCTGTCTCTCTGTTACTGTTTGATTAGATAAGGTATGAGATAAGGATCTAATGTTTTCCCAAAGGAATAATCCGGTCTCAACACCATGTGATGGAAGTTTGAAGTACCATCTTTACTAAATGTAAGGTGCTAAATTGTCATTTGTAGAGGGTACTTTTGTTCAGGACCCCTTCCCTTTATTTCCTTTAGTAACCAGTTTACCCTCATGACATAGGAGCTAGTAGATCTCCTAAAGATTCCATATCCCTTGACTTCACATTTATTCCTGGGAAGTACATTTGATCCAAGTGGGCCAGTAAGTGCCCGACGTGGGATTTTGTAAAAGGATAACATCATGTTCAGTGGTTGGTGACCTGGGACTTTTAGCAGCCATGAGAAAGTGTCTGCATGAAGAAAAATAGGCATGTAGAAACATTTAAGAGAGACAGAATCTTGATGCTGCACAGGACCAGTCAGTGCTTGACCCCCTTTTTCTACATATTCCAAAGATACGTACTGTTATGTTCTTTTGGTTTCATTATTAAGCCAGCAGATGTTAACATCCTCTGTACCATGATCAGTTGCTGATTTTTGTTTCACTAAACTCTTTGTTTATGCTTATGCCAAAAGTAATGTTTTAATTAGTATGGCTTTTTAATGCTTTTTATTGTAGAGCAAGTCCTTTCACCCATAATTATACAATTAATCTTCAGCAAAGAGGGGAAGAATGTGCAATGGGAAAAAGACAGTCTTTGTCGAAAAAAAGAATTGGGTATAATTTTACATAAAATCAAATTCACCATTTTATAAGTGTATTGTTTGAGTTTTGACAAATATACACAATTGTATAACTACCATCATGCTTAAGACAGATCTGGCAGCCACTGATCTGTTTCTGCCCCTACAGTTTTACTTTTTCTAAAAAGTGTAAATGGAATCATGGGTTATATAATCTTTTATGTCTGTATAAGTGCTTTTGAGGTCATCCATGATATTGCATGCATCTGTAGTTTGCTACTTTTTATTGCTGAGTAATAATCCATTGTATGGATATGCCACAACCTATTTATGCATTCACCTGTTGAAGGTCATTTGACTTATTTTCAACTTTTATTATGAATAAGCCTCTTGTGAACATTTCCATTGAAGTCTTTTTGTGGACACAGATTTTCACTTAAGTAAATACCTATGAGTAGTGGCACTGGATCAGATGATAAATAAATGTATGTTCAGTATTTTTTTATTATTTTGTTCCAGTTTTAGGTAAAAAAAAAAAGTTATGGAAGCACTGTGAACTGGTTAAGATTAATTAAAAAGATCACACATGAATATATCCTAGTAAAAATTTAGTCATTCTAGCTTCTAAACAAAATCAGTCACTTAGAAGGAATAATGAATCATCATGGTATTTGATTTTTCAAAATCTGTAGGAATATTACAAGATTTAAAAATATTTGACAGAAATGGACTATATGTGAATGATTCAGTATCTGTTCAGAAGTGCCTGTGGGAAGGGAAAAGAAAAGACTTGGAAAGTATACTTTAAAAGTGTAAATTTCAGAGGGAATTTCTGAATAAACTTAGCCCAATTAAGTTATATAAAAAACAGTGTGGGGGAAATTGCAAGAGAAAATGAATCTAATAAAAATTAAAAATTTCAAAGGATGATACTAATGATTGCATTATATTTGTAATGTAAGTGTTAAATGATTTATGAAATAGGATTTACCCTAAGGAATATGTTTTAGGCAGGATTTTTGTTGTGTGAGGCTCCTTTGAATTGAGTAAGAGCTTAGTTTGCAGATAAGGGAAATTGGAATAAGTACTGTGGTGTTGCCCTGTTACCAATGTGAATTTATGGTTTCTAATATTAATAGATAAAAGTAAATATACGAAAGTGCACATATGGAAGTAAACAAACACATTTCTTAGCTCTGTCCACTAGAGATGGCACAGCAGCAGCAAAAAACCAGTAGAAATAGACATAGCTAGTTCCTGCATTTTGGTTTCTAAATGCATTTTCTGCATTCTTCACTAAAAAGAACCAGAGTTCTTAGAGAAATAACTGATTCCAGGAGTGGTTCAGGGACATTACATGATGAGCCTGGAACATTTTTTTTTTTAAGATTTTATTTATTTATTTGACAGAGATCACAATTAGGCAGAGAGGCAGGCAGACAGAAAAGGAGAGAGAGGAGGAAGCAGGCTCCCTGCTGAGCAGAGAGCCCGATATGGGGCTTGATCCCAGGACTCTGGGATCTTGACCTGAGTGGAAGGCAGAGGCTTTAACCCACTGAGCCACCCAGGCGCCCCGAGCCTGGAACATTTTTTGTGTGAGGAAGTAACGCTAAAAAATAGTGGGACCATGTCAAAAGGACATGGCTTAAAAACAAAGGGACTTACACTGGCAGATTCTGTGACAATATAAGAATTGAAATAATTGTACTACATTGAGCAAAATAGGAATCCAGGAGTCTATACTAAATAAATGGATAAATGGGGGAAAATAATATGTTTTTCCTTACAGAATAATATCAATAAATGTAGAAGGATCGCTTCTCAGCCTTTTGGTTAAGATCAAGTGTAATAAGGGGCGCCTGGGTGGCTCAGTGGGTTAAGCCGCTGCCTTCGGCTCAGGTCGTAATCTCGGGGTCCTGGGATCGAGTCCCGCATCGGGCTCTCTGCTCAGCAGGGGGCCTGCTTCCCTCTCTCTCTCTCTGCCTGCCTCTCTGTCTACTTGTGATCTCTCTCTGTCAAATAAATAAATAAAATCTTAAAAAAAAAACGATCAAGTGTAATAAATGTAGAAGGAAATAATAGAACTGAGGAATTACTGGGGCATCTGGGTGGCTCAGTGGGTTAAAGCGTCTGCCTTCAGCTCGGGTCGTGGTCCCGGGGTCCTGGGATCGAGCCCGGCGGTCAGGCTCTCTGCTCAGTGGGGAGCCTGCTTCCTCCTCTCTCTCTGCCTATCTCTCTTACTTGTGATCTCTCTGTCAAATAAATAAATAAATAAATATCTTAAAAAAAAAAAAAGGGACTGAGGAATCACCATGTGGTTAACACAGTAATGGTGACTTTGGCTAAATATCAGTGGATACTAGAAAAAACTAATGGATGAAGAATCCTATGGTCTCAAAGTATCTCCCTACAAAATATTTAATTATAAAAGGTGAAAAAAATAACTCGAAAAAAACATGGTAGACACCCTCTTAATCAAGTAATCAAAGTTAACCCTATCAGTAATGGTTTAATCAACAGCCACCTGTAAGCAACGTCATGTCCACCTGAGTGGATGCAGTGAGAAAACTCAATATTTCAGTGACAATCCAGCCAATGGATAATCTGGGTCTAGTCCCAAGAAAATACCAGGAAAAGCAAAATTGAAGTACATTCTACAAAGTAGATTATAATCCTCAAAATCCCAAGGTAATCAAAGTCCAGGAAATCGAACTGTTTCAAATTGAGGGAGACTAGAAAGATTGGACATGTGAGTAAACTACATGACC